CCGTGCTTCCAGCTGTGCTTCCAGCTGGGGGCCCGTGCTTCCGCTCCCCACAACCCCGCAATTTGTGCTTTTGTGCCCGGCGCAGGAGGTGGAGCGCAACCTTCAGGACGCCATGCAGGTGTGTCGCAACGTCCTCATGGACCCGCAGCTGGTGCCCGGAGGGGGAGCGACCGAAATGGCCGTTTCCCAGGCGCTGACCGAGAAGTCCAAGGGCATGACGGGCGTGGAGCAGTGGCCCTACCGTGCCGTCGCCCAGGCTCTGGAAGTCATTCCCCGCACGCTGATCCAGAACTGCGGCGCTAGTACCATCCGTGTGCTGACCTCGCTTCGGGTAAGGCGTTCTTACGAAAGTTTTGTGCCAAATTTGAAAGTGTGAAAATGGAATTTAAGAGCTCATTTGAGGTACCGGAGCTGAAAAATAAAACCACAAAACCCTGGACAAAATCCATATCTTCCTTGGAGATTGGATTGGATGGGACAGAACATCTCCCAGTTCAGCTCCTGATAGAACCGCTTCAAGTGGTTTTCAGTGACATGCTCTTGTATAAATTCCAAAATTGGGAAAATTCTAATGATCTTCCTGCTTTTTCCCTGAACCTGGGGTCAGTTTGAGGTGGCAGGAGGTGGATTTGCTCCTTGGTGGTGACGTGTCCTTCTGCTCACAGGCAAAACACACCCAGGAGGGCAGCCAGACGTGGGGGGTGAACGGGGAGACCGGAGCCTTGGTCGACATGAAGGACCTGGGGATCTGGGAGCCCCTGGCAGTCAAACTGCAGACCTACAAAACGGCGGTGGAGGTGAGGAGAGACGGGGGGAAACTTGGGAACCTCCGTGATGTGTCTCTGGGGAGAGGGGAATGTTACTCCTTGGGTGAGCGCTGCGAACCGAGCGCAGGGTTTCAGCTCTGTGACACAGCAGGTGTGATGATCATGGAATGGTTTGGGTTGGAAGGGACCTTCAGGATCATCCAGTTCCAATTCCCCTGCCATGGGCAGTATCAGTTTGCTCAAAGCTTCATCCACCCCGGCCTTGAACACTTCCAGGGAGGGGCCAGCCACAGCTTCTCTGGGCAACCTGTGCCAGTGCCTCAGCACCCTCTGAGGGAAGAATTTCTTCCTTAGATCCCATTGAAATCTCCCCTCTTTTCAGTCTAAAGCCATTGCCTCGTGTCCCATCGCTCCACACCTGTGTCCAAAGCCCCTCTCCAGCTTTCCTGTAGCCCCTTTAGGCACTGGGAGGTGCTGGAAGGTCTCCCCGGAGCCTTCTCTTCTCCAGGCTGACCCCCAACATGTCAGTTGGCTGAACGACCCCAACGTGTCCCTGGTTCTCCCGATCAGGGAAGCAGCACCCGTGGGAGCCCCTCGAGCTCTCAGGTCGGGTTTTGATCCTGTGGCAAAAACTTGTGTTCCAGAGTAGTGAGTCTCACAAGGATGGATGGTGCCAGCCAGTCAGTTAGTGGCCCTGGGAGCTTCTGCCCTTCTCATCACCCGCCCAGCTGCTTCAGCTGCCCTGTGCTTGTTAAAAAAATCCCATTTTGGGCACTCGCTGGCGGCGTTGGATCAAAGGCGGCTGCTCCAAGGGACGCTGCGTCCCTTTCTTGTCATCAGCTG